TATACTCCCTCCGTCTCAAGAAGAACGTATTTTAATTTTTTGTTTTTATGTCCAACGTTGTACTGTCCATCTTATTTGAAAAAAAATAAAAAAATAAAAAAATAAGTCACGCATAAATTATTATTTATTTTTTATCATCTAATAATAATAAAAATAGTAATCATAAAAAAAATTTAAATAAGACAAAAATTTATAAATAAAACGAATAGTCAAACATAGTATAAAAACTGAAAAAATATAGACGGGAGGGAGTAATAAAAAGAGAGAATCCATTATATGTCACTGACTTTGTCACATGTCTACACTTTACCACTAACTTTGTCACGTTTTACAATATATCATCGACTTTTGCTTAACTTCTACGATTTACCATCGCCGTCCAGTTAGCCTCCGTTAGCACTATACAATTTTGTCTAAATGACCAAAATACCCCTAAGATAAAAACTTCTAAAATTTGGATAAAATTATCAAAATATCGTATTATGAACACAAGATTGTAAACATCCAAAATTTAGAAAAAAAAACTTAAAATCTAACATTTCAGAATTTTTATCCAGATTTTGAAAGTTTTTATCCTAGGGATATTTTGGTCATTTTGATAAATTTGTACAGTACTAACAAAGACTAACCGAACGGCGATATGGTAAATCGTAGAAGTTAAGCAAAAGTCGATGGTATATTGTAGAACGTGATAAAGTCAGTGGGATATAATAGATTCTCTGGCTGTTTCATGTGACGACCGCAGTCCGCAGATGATGGGCAGACCGACACAGATATGTGTCAACCGGACATGATAGATATTCGTCGTTGTCTCAACCGGATCGAGAATTCGAGATGGAGCTATATAGCTTGTGCTTTTCCATGGACGAACGAACCGCGCGCGTCGCTCAGGCTGGCCGCGGCGATATGGACGACTGCCAGGTGAAGCCAACGGCAGCCGCCGGTTTGGATTTGGACGACTGGCCCTGATACTGATAGCTAGCTAGCTGGATTCTGCTATCACGATGGACGGCTCATATAACTCCACGTACGTACGGCTGATATGATGGAGATTAATTCATTAAGCTGCCTGCATATGCAGAGAGGCCAAACTTAGTTAGGCCGAGTAGTTAGTTAATTAGACCTAGCTTAGTTTAGTTAATTATCTTCCTAGGTCAGCTAGAGAGATTTGTTTTGTGTGGAGATCATATATGATGTTTACATTTGACCAGATTTAATTCGATCGACAAGTACGTAATCTTGCTATAGCTTAATTAGATTCCGATCCTGCTAAGCTGCTTGTAATTTAGGCTTCACGTACACATCCTCTCGATCGAGAGCTAGTAAAAGGCAAAAACGATTAAGCATTAAGCTAGCTAGGGATCGATCAACTAGGGTACGCAATTAATTAACAGCCGTTAATTACCTACTAGAACAAACCATGCGATTAATATTGAGTTTCTAGAGTGTACTTTCTACCCTTCCTTTGCGCGTCGGCACCGTCATTAATCTAGCTAGCTAAGCTAGCTTGGAAATCATGTTAGAGGAATGATAAAATTCTGTTTATATGAGAGTAGTACGTACGTCTTTCTACACCATCTTTTCTTCTTGCGTGTCCCCAAGTTTTCCTCGTTCGTGCTTGATTCGGTTCCCATCTCCTATACACATATCACACTATACAGCGTATACTTCATCTGTTTCTAAATATTTGACACCGTTAACTAATTAAGTAAATATTAAAAAATAAATTGTCGACGTTTGATGTCGCGATTCCGGTATTTGCATGGTATGGGGATCGTTGGTACTAGAGTATACGCGAGACTGAGGTAAAAGAGATGGAGACAGGGATTTTTATACAGGTTCGGGCCCCTGAATTGTCAGGTAATAACCCTACATCCTGTTGGCCGAAGCCGGTATTGCTCTTATTCACCATAATCACACCAGTACAATATTTGGGGTAGCCTATCTAACTGTTGTCGACATGGCGGTTTGAAGGTCTGACTTGTAGTCGACAACAGGGTAGTCTTCGTCCTCGAATCCGTGCCCGGCGAGATCAAAGACAGCGCTAGATCCCTACGGCCGGCCTCTGTAGGTACCGGATAGGGTCGATCTAGGTATGTCTCTGATGTCGATATCCGGCGTCTTGTGTTGGCGTATGTTGGCTTGTATGTTGATCTTGTGTCTTGATCTATGGTGGGTGTCTGTTGATTGTGTTGGTCGTGTCTCCCCTCTCCTCCTAGGGGGCCTTGTATTTATACCCATAGGTGTTCCCTTGTCCAAGTAGAACTGGGAAACTAATATGGATACAATCCGAGTAATTCTTATCGTTTCCATGTAGAACTCTGGTTGTCTTTCCTTATCCGGAACTCCTCCTATATCCGCAGGTTGTTTCCGTATAGGACATGGTATGTGGTGGGCCCTGCCGAGATTTAGTCAACTACTATTAGGTATGTGGTATCCATAACCCTGACATAAGTAATAATTAATTATTTTCCTATCATTTGATTCATCGTTAAATATACTTTCATGTATACATATAGTTTTACATATTTCACAAATTTTTTTAAATAAGACGGACGGTTAAACATGTGCTAAAAATCATCGGTGTCAAATATTTAAAAACAGAGAGTGTATTTAGTACGTTGCTTGCCATTTAATTTTACCTCAAATGATCCTTCATCCACCATCCTAGATCAAAGATATTCCTCTACCTTGCATGGCCGAAACCCTATTTGGGAAGAAATTCCTTTTAGGCTTTTAGTTGGCTTGACTAAAAAGGGCAAAACAGATCTTCGTGTACTCCCAGAAAAAATGGAGCTAATAAATGATCAACTAACAGAACAGGCATGAAAGCTAGGATAATAACTAACAGGCATGTACGTTAGAACATAGCTTATAGGCGTGGGATTAGCTATATATTAGTCATCGAATTTTAACTAAAAATTTTGACAGATATAAATATAATACAATCGTGATATAATTACCGTGTAACTTGCATGTAATTATAGTGTAACTTATATGTAACTTTCAAAAATTCCTAGGTGATATGCTAATTCCATGAAAAGGAAGGTAATAGTACCGAATCCCCTCACATGTGCGTGGGTTGTGATTTTTCCTTACCTCCTTTGCACGAATTTTAAAGCAAATCGAACGGTTCAAAATTAGATTGTAGTTACATGCAAGTTACAACGTAATTACACCACGATTGTACTATATTTACATCTATTAAATTTTTAGAAAAAAAATTGTCGACTAATTTATAGCAAAATCAATAGGCGTAAAAGAGATCGACTAAAATCTCTTGACAATAAACTTCCTCAATAAGAATTTGCAATGGTTCCCCCTCCATGAATGAACCATATAATTAATCTTTATTTGGTTTCGACAAACCACACATACAAATATTGTCCATAGGCGATCCAAGATATTCACTTCAGATATTCGGACTCGTAACATAAAGCCATAATGGTTCCCAACAACAAGAATGGAAGTACACTCCTATAGAAGAGCTATATTGATGTTTGGAGACTGTTAGCTGACTAATCAGTGCTACTACAGATATTTCACACATTATAACTGGGCTATATGCTGATGGGTTATCAAGGACAATATACTGGAATGGTATTTTAATTTAGTGCGTAAATATTAAACGAATATAAACTTTTTCTATCTTGTATTATACTCCCTCCTGTTTTAAAAAATATATGATGTTTTGACCATTTGTCTTACTAAAAATTTTGGTACAAATTATCATGTCTAAAGTATCTTTAATAATAAAACAAGTCATAATAAAATGAATGATACTACATGATTTTTTTTAATGAGATGAATAGTTAGATGTGTTATTTTCAAAAGTCATATATTTAGGAAATACAAGTTAGTAACATTCAACATTTTGATTAATTTGTGTTGCATAGAAAATCCACCCACCATTCTAGGACATTTAACTTTTCTATATCTGTGAAAATGATCCCTCATCTTTCATCCTACTCAAAGCACAGACACCTTGACACATACTTCCAACACGCCCATGCTGGCAAGCAATCCCTCTCTGTTTGCTAGTAGCTCAGTACCACACTGTAAGATTGAAGTAGAGATGCGCAGATGGCCATCACGCAGAGTCAGCAATTACTCAGCAAGAAAAGGTTCTTCCTAATTAAGGTTGACTTCTGAAGGGCCGACAACTTTCTCATTTTACGTTAGCATACTTCTCGATCAGCTAAACCAAGGTTTCTCAATTTTTTTTCCAAAAAACGTCATATCAAATCTTTGGACGTACACATACATGGATATATAGATTAAAAAAAAACCAATTGCACAGTTTATATGGAAATCGCGAGATGAATATTTTGAGCCTAATTAATCCATGATTAACCATAAAGTGCTACAGTAAACCACATCTGCTAATGACTGATTAATTAGCCTTAATGAATTTGTCTTGCGGTTTCCAGGCGAGTTATGAAATTAAATTTTTCATTCGTGTCCGAAAACCCATTCCAATATCCGGTCAAACGTCCGATGTGATACCTAAAAATTTTCTTTTCACGAACTAAACACCCCCCAAAATGATGGTTCGAATGGGCCCTAAGGCTTATTCAAGCTATTAGGCTAGAGCGGTTAGTGACTCGAAACACAGGAGAGATAATCAGGGACATGATTAATTGAGTATTAGTAACTAATAAACTTTAAAATAGATTTATTTCGGTTATTAAAAGAACTTCTATAAGAAAAAAATTTATATAAAACGGACTGTTTAGCAATTCGGGAAACTTTTTCAACATATTCTCTCCGTTCTAAAAAAATAAACGTAGAAAGAGATGTAACATCTTCTAGTATAGTAAATCTGTACTATCCTTTATCTAAATTTGTTGTTTTAGGAGGGGGTTGAGTTTTTTTTTTTGACAGAGAGAGTAAGGGAGTTGTCGTCCCAAAACGTAGAAACTTACTCAACATAACACTTTTTGGTCAGAAAATGCCTTAAAAACTCTACAGAATAGCCGGGAAAAACGGTTCAGTCCAAACACGGTAGTAAGCCTGCCATAGTCAAGCTCGCCTCTGCTCCTTCCTCTGCTGCTTCCCCGCGTCTCCTTCTTCCTCCCTATAAATCATGTCAGCTAGCCGTTGCATTCCACCAAGCAACCAACCACCAACTAACTCGCCATCCAACCACCTCCAACTCTAGCTCCATCCGCGGCTTGGAGCTCCCTTCTTACAAGTCGATCGATCGAGTAGTCGACAAGCGCAATGGCGGCGGCGGCGGGTGGCATGAGTTCGAGGTCGTCGTCATTGCTGGCCATGGTGTTCGTCGCCGTCGCGGTGCTCGCGCGGGCGCAGGATGAGCGCGCGGCGACGTTCACCATCACCAACAACTGCGCCTACACGGTGTGGCCGGGGCTGCTGTCCAGCGCGGGGTCGGCGCCGCTGTCCACGACGGGGTTCGCGCTCGCGCCGGGGGCGTCGCAGGCGGTCCCGGCGCCGTCGGGGTGGTCGGGCCGCATGTGGGGGCGCACGCTCTGCGCCGCCGACGGCGCCGGGGCGAAGTTCTCCTGCGCCACCGGCGACTGCGGCTCCGGCGACGTGCAGTGCAACGGCGGCGGCGCCGCGCCGCCGGCCACGCTGGCCGAGTTCACCCTCGACGGCAGCGGCGGCCTCGACTTCTTCGACGTCAGCCTCGTCGACGGCTACAACCTTCCCATGCTCGTCACCCCCAGCGCCACCTCCGGCTCCGGCAAGTGCGCGGCGACGGGGTGCGTGGCGGAGCTGAACGGCGCGTGCCCGGCCGACCTGCGCGTGGCGTCGGCGTCGGGGCCGGCGGTGGCGTGCCGGAGCGCGTGCGAGGCGTTCGGGTCGGCGGAGTACTGCTGCAGCGGCGCGTACGGGAACCCGAACACGTGCCGGCCGTCGGCGTACTCGGAGTTCTTCAAGGCGGCGTGCCCTCGCGCCTACAGCTACGCCTACGACGACTCCACCTCCACCTTCACCTGCGCCGCCGGCGCCACAGACTACGCCATCACCTTCTGCCCCGCCGCTCCCACCAGGTAAAAATAAAATAAATAAAATCCGCAATTGCAATAGTAAATAATGACCCCGCTAGTTAAAAAAAGAAAATTCTTACTACTCCAGTAATTAGCAGTTACGGAGTACTAGTAAGTCGCAATTAAAGAAAGAAAACGTTGTTATTATTATTATTATTATTCCTGGATTTGATCACGTTAATTTAGTTGGATTTTTGACCTTGGTTGGGTGTGCGAGAGGGGAAGCTGACAAAAAGAAAGAGGTTAGGTGAGCCATTTCGAGGAGGTGTGGTGATGGTGCTAACGGCTAGTAACGGATAAAAAACGGCTAGAACTGACACGTGGGGCCCATGTGGCCGCACTGCACGTTTATCATTAACTAACAAAACAATTGACAAAGTGGGCCCCAATGTGGTCAACTTTTGACGCTATTTCCACGTCACTGACAACTGGACCCAAAGTACTCAGCTCATTTACTACGGCTGGTCCCAACCTTAGTAAGGTTTGATGGTGTGCCCCACCTGTCAGTGAGAGTAACTTGGTTTGGTCATATTGCTAATCGTGTTGTTTTTGTTGTGAACAGCGTGAAGTCGTCGGGGCAGAACCCGCAGGCCGCCGGGCTGCAGCAGCTCAACGACACCATGGTCTACTTCGGCGGCGGCGGCGGAAGCCCGCAATCCAGCGGCGCGACGACCACTTCGGCTTACTCCTCCATTGCCGCCGCCGTATTCTCGGTCGCCGCCGTCGCTCTCGCCGCTCTGCTTTGAGCCGCCTTGGCTGGCAGCCTGGCACGTCGGCGTCGGCGTCAAAATGTCCACGTACACACACGGCGGCGCAATGGAGCAGGTTGGCCGCCGGCGGCCGCCTCCTGGCTGCGCTCCACTGCGCAGTGGGCCCCTGGAGGAAGACAGTGTTGACCGAGCTCTGTTACAGGGTTGACCTAGATATCGATGATTATAGTTTTAGTAATTCTTTTTGATTTTTTTGGGGGGATTTTAGTGTATTTATTAGGTGATTTTGTTGGGGCGGAGACGGATGATTCGTTCATTCTTTGTTACACCAAAATCAGATTATGTATGTAGGGTTTGATTTTGCATGAGATTAGTTACTAGTGATTTGAAAGGGATTTGTAGTACTAGTACAGCATCATTGTTGCTAGTACGAAGGGTACAAGGAGCTAGCTCTGACGTGATCGCATCGCTAATGCAGATAAGGACAGTTCCAATTCAGTGGACTTGGGCATAAATAAAAAAGGCGGCATTCTTCACATATTGTGTAATGATGGGTTCAACTTGCACGTTTTTCTTGTCCACAAAACTCGCCATTCTATATTCTTCTCAAAAGCTACTAGTATTCGGCTAACGATTTCGTGTCTGACCAAAGATCATTACGAACGCACTATGTTGGGGTAGTAACACATTTACTAGTGGTATTAGTTAGAGTGTCATGTGACATTTGGTGTGATTTAAATAATACTCCATCCGTTTCAAAATGTTTGACACCGTTGACTTTTTAGTACGTGTTTGACCATTCGTCTTATTCGAAAAATTTAAGTAATTATTTATTCTTTTCATATCATTTGATTCATTGTTAAATATACTTTCATGCACACATATAGTTTACATATTTCACGATTTTTTTAATAAGACGAACGGTCATACATGTGCTAAAAAGTTAACGCTGTCAAACATTTTGAAACGGAGGGAGTATAAGAAAGAGCAATCAGTTGACACCTTGACGATACGTGATCAATAATGTTTACTTCTAATTACATTCTACAAAATGGCTACATCTTCGCTAGTGGTCCACGTCACTGGTCTTCACTAGCGGTGTCTTAAGTGCGCCGCTAGCGAAAACCGCAACACCTTCGCTGGCAGGCCCGCTTACTCAACTGCCATTGAAGATTAGCTTTCGCTGGCGGTCCAAAGTCCCCCACCCCTCGTTACGTTGTTGCTAACGGTTTTCGCGTATGGCCGCCGGCGAAAATGTTAGGGCGACGCCATGAAAAATCATTTTTTAAAATAGTGGGTGATCAATAATGTTGACTTCAAATTACATTATACAATTTTCTCAGGGATATAACCAAATTGTAGTGTGAAGGAAAAAGAGGGAAATGGAATTTTTTTCAGCGGGGAATGGAAATCGATTATTCAACAATCTGAATAGGAATAGGCGTTGTCGACCATTTCACACTCCTTACATTGATCTATTAATGATTTTATAATGTTTCCTTAAAAATTGATCTCTCAGACACCAATGAAAATGATGACAGGAACCAAGACAAAAAAGAGAACAAGACAGCTAGACATTATTACATAGAGCTATCGAGGAACCTTGAGACTAAAATACATGATATTGGTGGCAATCGGTGTCATCAAAGAGGCAAGATGGAATGGCAAATAGTAAGAGGTAGGGGTGGGAAAAAAAACTTGGGTTTTCATGAGCTCGACCGATCCGTTTGGGCTCGCATAGCTTTGGTTTGGCTCGAAAACCAATAAGCCAAGCCCGAGCCGCTCGTTTCTGAAACAAGTTGAGCTCGAGCTACCTCACAAGGCGCTCCTTCGGCTCGGTGAGATTGCACACTTGGCCTGATCAGCTCAGCATGGCCATTCGTTTGATGGCCTGGCCCAATTAAAAAACTTAAGTCCTGTGACCCTTTCTAGTTTTTCACTCCGTCCCTATCTATTTCCGTCGACGCCACCACATAGAGCTAGGAACACCTCCATCTATTCCCATCCATCTAGATTCAGGAAAAAAGCTGAAGGTTGATGATGACTTGCTATTGTGTTGTTGGCTGTTGCTTGCATCTTGGCAATTTCCTTGCTGAAATGTGACTTTGATGGTTGTATTGACTATTTATCGACTATATTGAACTATTGGAGTAAATTTCTAACTTGATTGCTCATTGCTCTATGTTGATGTGTTGCCAGTAATCGCTTGGAACTCCCATTAAGAAATATTTTTATTGATAGGCTCGCGAGCTGGCCTGAGCTCAACTGGTCAAGAATGAAGATTGAGGCGAGCCAAGCTGTTGTTTTACCTCATGACAACAACCAAACCAAACCGAGTCGAGAGTCCCTTGTCACAAGCTTACACGAACCAAGCCAAGTCTGGCCCAATTCATTTCCAACCCCGGTAAGAGAAGAACACAAGTTTAGCGGATGTTCGATATCCAAACAGTAAGGAAGGTTTTCAATGTTGCTTTCAATAAAAGTATCACTGTTGCTATTGATGGTGCTGCTACATAAACTAGGAGCAAAATAGGAAATAAAATGTGTTCAAATAAAAAAAAGAGGGCAGCTAGCCCACGAGATACCGTGCAAAAGTAAAGTCACGGGACAATTTTAATGTGTGATTAATTTGTACACTATGCCGTACCACAGGTACCGGGTACCAGGTATCACAGGTACTAGGTGCCAGGTATCACAAGTATCAGGTATCGGGTACCAGGTATCACAAAGTACTAGGTGCCAGGTATCGCAAGTATCAGATACCAGGTACCAGGTATCAGGTATAACAAGTATCAAGTACCAGGTGTCACAGTTATCGGGTATCGGGTATCAGGTACCAAGTATCACAGATACCAGGTGCCAGGTATCACAAGTATCAGGTGTCACAGGTATCGGGTACCAGGTACCAGGTATCACAGGTACTAAGTGCCAGGTATCATAAGTATCAGGTACCAGCTATCACAGGCACTAGATACCATGCAACTGGTACCACCCCTGGCACCTGGTACCTTCGGTACCAGCTAATACCTGGTACATTTGGTACTGATTGGGTACCGACTGATACTTGGTACCTGGTACCTTGCTGGTAACTAGGTATCACAGACTTTGGTACCTGGGTACTAGGCCTGATACTGAGGTATATACAGATATACTTGTGCTTTTGATGATGCATGCACTAGTTCACTGGTTACTAGCTGCACACGCGGATACAGGAAAGCCTAGTTCTACCATGCAGTCATACAGGATGACTTGACTGGTTCTTGGGCCTGCCATCGTGCATGCATGCACACATTCACTAAGTGCATGGACCCCACTATGCATGACCCTACTGTGACATATGTACCAGACACATATAATACGAAAGAGCGGAAACGGAGGCGGGCCTAAAGGCCATAGAGCTGTTTGTGTCAGGACACGATTTGAGACTCGATCCCGTGTGACGGGATCCCGTTGTATAGTTTTTTTGTAAAAAAAAATGTTGAAAAGAAGCGGCAGATATATAATCTATTTTGCTTTATTAATATGACACAAATTTGCATCATGTTGGAAGATTATTTTTACACATGTTAATATGACATGAAATTGTATCATGTTGACACAAATTGAGAACTACGCTACAATACCATATCGGTATTAAGAGTTGACTATTCGACTGTTAACTAATGCACAAGATTATAGCGCATTTTTTTGCAACAATATTACAATATGTGATGAGAGGTTATTTTGCATTGTAGTGTAGTTAATGTCGTATGGAGCATGCCTTTGGTGAGACGTCTAAAAGCGGCTCCAGTGTGAGGTTTAAATCCATTTTGATGAATAAATATCAAAGCATGCACTCTGTGACGGCTGACTCGTGCTTGTCAAATAAAAAAAAAAGGTCGAATCGAACTCAACCGATTTTTTTTAAAAAAAATCACTTATTTCCCATGGTCATTGGCACATACAGGGTAGACATAGTGATTGAAGGTTTTTTTTTTTCATATTAATCCCATAAATCGATTTGAACAGTACAGCTATCAAACCAAATCTTTGCTCCTTTTTCTTGAATTGCAGCAGTCGAATTAGCATTGAAGCTACTCGAAGAAAACACGACGACACCTTAAGTACTTAGAGCAAGCACAATAATAAATTTAAGCTGACTATAACATATCCACGTAAACAAAAATGATGAAATGGTGAAGAAAGATAACGTGAGAGGACAACTATAAATTGTCGCCGCTTGCCTTAACTTCTCATGCATGTAAGCTATAATTGGACGGTAAGCTTCCAAGACATCATACAACATAGCAATTGGATTACACATCTAACAAAAAGTGATAATATCATAATACTACCATTTATATAATTGAACAAAGTAATTTTAACTCAAACTCCATATGATGATGTGGTAGGTTTTAAAGCTATCAGCGAGTTATATTATTGAACTTGCTCTTAGAGCAACATCAATGTATAATACCGAAGTGGATATTAGTGTGGGACCATTTGTCAGTTGGTAGTAGTTAAATCAGACACCACAATGCATATGGATAGATAAGAGGTATTAAGATGGGGCCCACAAAAAAAACACCGTTCCAAATTCTATCACAAATGTCTAACATCACAAATGTCTAACAGTTGTCTGAAAACTCTGAACAACTATTGTATTTTACTCCTTCCTGTCAGCAGTAGCAGAAATTCCTGGTAGTCTTTATTACCTGCTCTCACAATGGCTAGCTACTAGCTACTACTCCCTTCATTTTTTAGATGTTTCCTTTTTCAGATGTTTCCTAATATAAGGCATACATGAATACATGCTATTAACTAGCACTTCTTTCTCACTAAATTATTATTTTTTTCAATGCTCTATCCTTAAGATCTTTAATTTTATTGGGTGCATGCATTATACTCCCTCCGTATTTTAATGTATGACGTCGTTGAATTTTTGACCAACGTTTGACCATTCGTTTTATTCAAAATTTATGTGAAAATATGAAAATATTTATGTCATGCTTAAAGAACATTTGATGATGAATCAAGTCACAATAAAATAAATAATAATTACGTAATTTTTTTAATAAGACGAATGGTCAAACGTTGGACGAAAAGTCAACGGCGTCATATATTAAAATATGGAGGTAGCATATTTATTAGGGTGATCCAAACTATGAGGTGATAATAACTACTCTCTCTGTCCCAGAATATAGGGATTTTTAGGGCCGGATACGGGTATTAAGAAAGTAGGCAGAATTAAATGGGAGAAGGTTGTGATTGGTTGAGAAGTGGAGGTAGGTGAGAAAATTGAATGGTGAAGGGTTGTGATTGATTGAGAAGAGAACGTTGGTGAAGAAGTTATTATGTTTTGGGGCAAAACTTGAATGCTAGAAGTCGTTATATTTTGGGATAGAAGGAGTATTTCTTGGCCTTTATGGGTTAAGTGTGGTTGCGCCTTATATTTTGGAATGTAGGGAGTACCATAAAGTAAGACATCATTTATTACTTATTCACAGCTTTAATAGTACATTGTGGATATCCTTAGAGCGGGTACAATAAGCTGACTAGGCGGGCTCCAAAATTATGCACTACAGCATATTCCTACGTGGAGGGAAGAGAACTGATGGGAGAGAAGGAAATGGATGACAAATTTGTCGCCGGGCGATATCTCTCTTCTCAACGTGACTGCAGTCCAACTCGACTATTAAAAACACGCTTGGTAGGTCCCACACACCACAACCAATCCCCTTCCCCACCGAGCGAGATCGATCTCTCTTTCCCCCTCCACCCCAGCCGAGCCCGCTCGATCTCCGCCCGCCCCTCCCGTGCGATCTTGTGCGCTCGACTCCCACGCGTGATTTCCGCCTCTCCCTCGCGCGCACAATCTACCTCCTCTCTACTTACTACTTCATCCACGAGCGTGAAAATAAATTTACATCTTCCTATTTTGCCGGCCCCAAAAATCCGGTGGATTGACGATGCCGCCTCCACTATCCGCCTTCCCTCTTCTACCTCGCTTAATCGCTCACCGAAAACCCTAGTTCTTTACCACCAAGGCACTAACAACCTTGTCTCGCCAGAGGAAGAGAGAGGTTGCGCCACCTCCATGTACCATCGCGAGCTTTTCTTAAACTCCCGGTGTTTCAAAAATTGTGATATATGTGCCCATATGCAATAAGTACCTTGTTTTTTTTAGGATATCAATGGTATTTGAGTTATGATGTAATAGTGCCTTGTAATTTTTGTACTACAGAGAATTTGGTCCTGGCAGAAATGGTTACAAGAGTGCAATTTACTCTTGATCATACACACGGATATGTACATGTTATAATTAATTATTTGATTATAAGATATAATAAGTAAATAAACAATCTATTATATTAGTAGTGGGCTTTAACAATGAGCTATTAGTGAGCAACTGGCTATACTATTAGCTTTGCTAGCCTATAGCCCAACAAAGCAGTTTCCACGTAAGCACATAGTGACACGTCATAGCCACGGCAGCGACCTCGCTGGCTGAACTCAACTACTTGAAAAATACCGAGCTGGTTCAGGTTCCCTCCACAACTGCTCCCCCCCTCCACCTCCTCCTCCGCCGCCGCCGCCTCCGCCGCCGCCGCCGCCGCTTCCGCCGCCGCCGCGCCGCCCGATGCGCCTCCTCGCCGCGGCGGCGAGAGCACACCGTTCGTCACACCGCCATTTCCTCCTCTCCTCCAGCTTCCACCTCTCCTCCGCCGCCACCTCCACTACCACCTCCTCCACCTCCTCCTACGATCCCATCAAGCAATTCCTCCTCCTCCTCCCCTCCAACACCCACTCCCACCACCACCACCTCTCCCTGCCGGCCTCCCTCCGCCGCGACGCCGTCCTCGCGCTCGCCCGCCTCATCAAGGTCTCCCCTCCATGCCTCCTCGCGCTCCACGCGCTCACCTCCCCCACGTCGTCGTCGTCGTCGCCGTCACCGCTCCCGGCCCGCTTCGCCGCCGCGCTGCGCCTCGCCTCGTCGGCCCAGGCGCTCCCCACCTTCGCGTCGCTCCTCCTCGCGGCTCTGCTGCCGGATGCGACCCCTGATCTGCTAGCGTTCTGCGAGGGGTTCCGTGGGCGTAGCGGGAGGTACGCCGCGCGCCGCCTCGCCCTCCATGCCTTCCTCGCCGCTGGCATGGCTGACGAGGCGCTCGACGTGCTCGCGCGCGTCCGCCGCGCCGGGGACACGCCCAGCCTGTCTGCATTGGCGGCGCTGCTGCGCCTGCTCTTCCGTGGCGGGGAGGTCCGGGCTGCCTGGAAGGTGTTCGAGGAAATGGCTGCGAGGGGACCGAGGCCTAACCTTGCCATATTCAACGCCATGATCTTTGGGTTGTGCCACAGGGGTCTTGTACGTGTCAGCGGTGGCCTGCTCGGCGTAATGGGGAGGTTCCACGTCGTCCCGGATGCGTGCAGCTATAACATCCTGATGAAGGGGCACTGCTTGTATGGGCAGGCAGAGGATGCCTTCAATCTGTTTGACGAGATGCGTGTGACAGGTTGTTGTCCTACTATCGTCACGTATAACATATTGATGAATGAGCTTTGCCGTGAGGGCAGGATGGTGGAGGCAAGGATGCTGTTTGATGAGATGTTGCAGGCTGGAGTTGAAGTGAATACAATCACGTTCAATGTTTTGATTGATGGTTATGCAAAGGCTGGACAGATGGAGAACGCTAACATGGCCTGCGCAGAGATGAAGGCCATGGGATTAATGCCTGACTGCTGCACCTTCAACATTCTTTCGGCTGGAGCATACAAGTTTGGGAAGGCTGCGTTGTTTGTACTTGATCAGCAGCAGTTGCATGAAATGTTTGGTTCACAGTTGTCAACAGATGGGATAGATATGTTGATCTGTAGACTTTGTTGGGATGGGCGATTGGATGATGCCTGGGAGCTCCTGTGTAGCGCTATTGAGAAGGGTGTTCAAGTGAGCGTTTCAGGATTTAATGCGCTGATTGCTGCATATAGCAAGGAGGGATTTGATGAAGAAGCTTTTGAGCTATATAAAACTATGAACAAATTAGGTCTTGCACCATCATCATCAACTTTGAATTACTTGATAATGGGACTGTGTAATCGTGGGAGACTTGATCAGGCACGGCTGTTCTTAGAATATATGGTTAGAATGGGATATTGTGTGATTGCATCTTTTACCATCTACTTGGACTCATCCTTCAGAGCTGGTGATGTATTAGGTGCCTTGAAGTGTTGGGATGATATGAAAATAGTTGGTTTACAGCCTGATTTTGTTGCCTTCTCGGCATATGTCAATGGTCTTTGCAGACTAGATTTTCTAGATGAGGCTTACAATGGTTTTATCGAGATGATAAGAAGAGGGCTTGTTCCAAATAATTTTACTTACAACTCCCTCATATCTGCATTTTGTAGGGCTGGGAATGTGTCTGAAGCATTGAAATTAGAGCAGAAGATGAGGCAGAGTGGCCTTGTTCCTGATATTTTTACGAGGAACATTTTAATTGATGGCTTTTGCAGAGAAGGGGGATTGAACACAGCTAATAACCTTTTCTTTGGCATGTACAGTATTGGTTTAACTCCAGATGTTGTGACATATAATACAATGCTCAATGCATATTGCCGCTCTAAGGATATTAATGGTGCCATGATTTTCATGAATAAGATGCTTGCAGATGGCTGTGAACCTGATATTTTCACATATAATATTTGGATGCACAGCTTGTGTAGCAACCATCTGCTGAATCGAGCAATGATGTTACTGGATGAATTAGCTGCAACGGATTGTGCTCCTAATTCTGTTACATACAACACATTGATGGATGGGATCTGCAGCGATGTTCTAGATCGGGCCATGATTCTGACTGGCAGACTGATTAAGTTGGCTTTTCAACCCAACACTGTCACAATTAACATTTTGTTTTCTCATTTCTGCAAGAATGGTTTTGGAAAGCGGGCTCTTGTGTGGGCTGAGAAGCTGAGAGATGATTCCTTCAATTTTGATGATGCTACAAGGAATATACTTGACTGGGCATACAGGGATATGGAGGATGATCCTCATGCTAGCAGTGCAGACATTGATAAGTGCCTATTTCTCGAGTTCTTAATGCTCATGACATGCACAACTATTCGCAACAGCAGATCCTTCAAGTTTACACATGTACCTATAAATACAGTTTTTGGTCATTCTGGCAGAAAAAGTTTGGATACTGGATGATCATTGAAATGTTGAATTCATATCCGCGTGAGCTACTGGATAATTTTCAGGTCATGGACAGCTCTGCTGCAGGAGTAACATATTCACTGTTATGCTTTTTCATGACTGACAGTGCGATAAGATGCAATGGCTACTGTTCACATTGTTACTGTCAAATGGAAAGTCAAAGGATTTCAGGAATATATGGTGATGGAAAACAAGGAGAAGGTTTGTGACAAGGGTGTTGTTTGTTCCTTGTTGTCTCATTTTATCTAGCTAATGAGAAACAATCGTAAATGAACTGACTGATACTGATAGGCTGCTGGCAAGAATCTTTTAAAGATGTTGCCTGCTTAACAAGAGGTTTGAAACTTCTTAACATTCCTTTGATTTGTTGATCATGATAATTTTATAATTTTATAAACTCGTCACAGTTTGCTTTGTACCAGATGCAGATATCATGTTGGCAGTCACATTGAAATATCTGGGAGTATATATAGACAAGACCATGTGAGCTGTGGTTCTATACTTGAGCATGGATTGATAAACAAACATACACATATCAATGGGGATATCCAGATGGCGAGGCAGGCAATGCATGTTGTTTTTGTTTTGTTTTGTTTTTTTTTTGCTAGGTGTTCTCTATAGCTTCTCTAAGTTTTGTTGTTTCCATATTTTTAGGGATGAGTAGTGAGTTCTGGAGATTACATACTACATTTCTAATACTTTAGATTTCCATGTGAAATTTTGGTAGCACAATTGGATCTGAAACCACCAAATGTACATTCAAATATTCAAGCATACATACTAACATGAAGTGTCTGGATCTTACAATCTGGAGGTTCTCACAATGCATATTAGTGGTCCAGGTTCCAACTGAAGTCATTGCTTTGTTGGTATGCATCTCTTGTTTTTAATCTGTCTGTTGTTGGATATAATTCAGCAGATTAACTTGGCTCTTTAAGTCAGAGCTGTAAACATAAAGTCATGAGTGGATGTGAAACCTGGCTCCTCTAACTGCTAGGAAAGAGTACACAAAACAGAGTTAAATATGCCATTTTTATACAGTTCTTTTTTGACTTGTATCTTTATTGACAGTTGTTGTTCAAGCATAATACTGAAGCTTGCAGCTTGTCCTAGGGATGTTATTGTCTTAATTCTCTCCCATTGTAACCTTTACAGGTCATAGCATGGTCATAAGACAAGATAGCACTCGCTTCAATATCCATTGCCCCAAACTTGTCATCTTCAATAAGCCATTTACACAAACTGTGTTTTTGTTAACATTGTTGTCTTGGGGTTTTACTTATCAAAGAAATAGCAGAAAATATTTAATATCACTTCTCGGTCCCAATGAACTATCACACATTGGATATGATTTTAATTGAAGTTTTACTATGGTTCTTTCACCTTGCTCATGAATCCATCATGTAGTGATTTATCTGCATTTTGCTGACGAGCAGTGCTATGTTTACTTACAAAATTCTTACTAACAAAGTTCTCAACCATTTGATTCAAGTAGCAGGAAGTTATAGAAAAGCTAGATTCAGTCATGGTATGCCACATCACCGTTAGTAAGTTTGTAACAATTATTTTGTACGTGTAGCCTTTTCCTTTGCTGAATTACTTCAAACTATTTAAGAAGGTTTACAGTTTACACCAGTTGGGATAGTATTTCATGGACAGGTTTCACCTTTAGATTATAAACAGTGGTTACCTTTGTTCTGTTGTGGTTGAAATTTTACCTGCCAAACACTTTGTGAGCATCAGAACAAAAATTTATATCTCGATTTGCTCATATGATTCTGTACATGTTCACAATGTTTCTGAATATTTATCCGGTGCAATAGATGAATTTATTCATGTACGGTACTCAATAATATCTGGATACCACACTGTTGAATACTTGAATGGCCTAGGAATTTGAACTGGTAAGATCAAATTATGGCAAATGCTCTGATGCACTATGGTTATCATAGATGGATTATCGTTAGTCATCTTGCTTCATCAGGCAAAAGCATCCATAGTCTGAGTTGTTTCTGAAATTTTTTTTGAAGGGTGTGTAGTTGATTTCCCACTTCTGTTCTTGTATGATTATTATACCATTTCTGATCTGGCTCAAAACTATCGAAATTTCCTCTGTTCTGTTTGTCTTGTGGTTGAAATTTTAGCTATTCATGACTCGTGAGTAGCAGAGAAAAAAAAATACTTCAACTTACTCATATAATTCTGTACATGTTCCCAATGTTTGTGAGTACTTATTTGAATATAATAGTTGAATTTAGTAATAGACAGAACTTGGTAATGTTTGGATACCACAATTTGTTGAATGACCTAGCTTTTTAAACTGCTAATAGGACCAGTAAATTGTGGCGAATGATCTAGAAGTTCATTTCTTCTTTTGCTTCTGCAAGTATTTTTTTTATACATGTTTTCTTAGATGGCTTCCCCCATATATGTTCCATATTTGGCACAGTGTTTCATAGATTTCTAGTTATGATTTTAACTTAATATTGGAGTCAATCATCTGCTTTATTGTATGTATCTGATGGTTAGTTTGTTTCTTTATGCTTTGAATGCAAAGTGCTTCAAGATCGTAAGATGGGTATGCACTGATCTTAGGTTTAGAATTTCTACTTGTGGCATAACAATATTTGATTGCTGCATCCTGATAGTTCCTGTGATTGGCTTTGCTCAAACCACTGATCTTATGTTTAACATTGTTGTATGAGTGCCTTTGGTACTATTCATATCTGTGCTCAGTATTGATGTTCTCCTCGATGTCACTTCTTTTGCATATGACTTTCACAAACAGTGGAAAGCCTAAGGACTATGATGTCTGTGAAGGAACCAACGGATGGCCATGCGGTAGATCCGGAAAAATCCTCTGAATCAAGTGTAGGAGTTTGTTCAAAGGAGCTATCTGACAGTTCCAGTATTTCCTGTTGTAGAGAGAACCAACGGGACTTAAACTGCAAAGAAGTCCTACACGAATCATCAATCAATAGCTCCCCTAACCCCACCGTTTCTCTCATTTTTTTGGATTATTTTTGGGCTCCTTGTTTAATTTACACGTTGTCTTTTACTGTTTTGGGCTCCTCATGCAGATTAGCTTGACGCTTTGCCTTGTTGTGTCCGGTACCATCAACCGGGTGTTGGATGTTTATGCCGAGCATGTATGCTCTATGCGTTTTTTCAAAAAAAGAAAAACTCTCAGGAAACAACGAAGTAGTCCTCCTTATTCTAATTTTTACGAAAAAGGACTTACCTTTATATGAAATACAATGTAATCCCAAAAAGTACGAGGGCATTCTCAAAAAAACAGATCCTAATCCAATCCCTCCTCTTACTCTGCTGCCAACCCATCCCCAACACGCAACATCTCTCTGCCCAATCCGCCATCCCCATCCATCAGGCTAATCCATGCGGCCTCCTCCCGGCCGGGGGCAAGGACGGCGCCGGCGTTTACAAAGACGACGGAGCAAGGGGACGACATGCCTCCTGTGCTGACCTCCTCTACCGTGATGGCCTCCTCGACCTTGTGGTTGCGTCCACGGGGGGAGGGAGGAGGCGGCACCCGCCCGAGCTGCCGCCGGTGCTCCCCTCCTCCTTCTCCATCCACTTGTGGTGACGGCGGCGGTGGCGGCGGGGGGAGGGCAGATCCGGCGCCCGACGCCGGCGGATCCGCCGTCGTGCCCCCTCCCTTCCCTTGTGGCGGCAGTGGCGAAGGTACCTACGTTGGCGGCAGAGCCGGCCGCGCGTCTGCCGCCGATGCCCTTCCCTCATGGCGGCGTCGGACCGGCCGCCGGCGCAGGACTGCCATACGTCTTCCCCCGTCGCCGCGTTGCCTCTCCGTCCTCTCCTCCGCAGCTTCCCAACTGTTCCCCTCTCAACTCTCGACCTCTCCTCTCTACGCGGAACACCATGACCGTCGCCGCCGAGGTCGACGCATCCCCTGACGGAGAGGAGAGGAGGAGGCAAGCTTGCAATCGCACAACCATCTATCGATTTCTCCCTTCCTTCTCTTTCTTCTTTCTTTCTTTCTTTCGTTTCCCCCTCTCACATGTCAGGTTATTTTTTCTCCTCATCCTCTCCGGATGATTTCACTTTTGCTCGAAATCTCTCATGTTGTTGTGTTGAAGGCGGCGAAGGGGGAAACTTTGGTGGTGGTGGTGGCCGGAGAGGAGGATGGCGGCAGCGGCAGTGACGGCGGCGGGTACGACAAGGCCGGGATGGACTCCGGCAAGTACGTGCAGTACACGCCGGATCAGGTGGAGGCGCTGGAGCGGGTGTACGCCGAGTGCCCCAAGCCCAGCTTCTGTCGCCGCCAGCAGTCGCCAACATCGAGCCCAAGCAGAAGATCAAGGTCTGGTTCCCAAAACAGAAGGTGAGCAAAAGCATGCAGGGATATACTATCAAACTGGTTTGCCTTCTGTGTGTCTGGCTGTGAAATGTTCTGGACAAATTGGTTGACAATGGAGCAATAGCAATAGTAGTGTTCAATTGTTTGCCTTGGTTGTGCATACTCTGCTTCAACTATATTTAGGAATTGCAAGTCTATGTATTTATTTGTTTTGCTTCCTTTCTTGCATAATGGAACAACCTTTATATAATCAAGGAAGTATACTGTACTTATCAGAGTATGTGCCAGATTAAGCCATCCATTAATTAGATGCTGAAGTAAACTATATGACTATATTGCGATGTATTCTAATTCCACTACTTACAAAACTGTAGGGTATAAGATTTGCTTATTTTTAGAAGATAGGCTAAACGAGGATCCTTTAGGTGATATGGCCAAACTAAGACACATATACATAACGTATTATCATGCATCTGATAGTAATGCAAAACAATGCAGTCCTATTTACTTTCACTGCAGGTATTTAGGCTCATCTTTTATTTTTCTCAAGAGGCACTTAACATGATATACAAAATTTGAAGAGTTACATTCTTTAAAAAACTTCTATGAGTTCTGCCTAAATGATTGTTATCCATAGTGTGCCTAAATAATTGTTCGATCTAGAGGTGATCCAAAGATTCGTCTATATTAGACGTAACAATAATGCAGTGTTTTTTTTGTTTATTTTTTAGCCTACAAATGTTTGACAAGAAGAGGATGAAAGAGTGACATAGGCGAGCTCTGTAGCATATATAGAATGTTTGCTATCCACTGGTACATCTTTAACCCGAGCCTACCTACTGTATAGATGTGTTTAGTACGTGCTTACTATGCTTAATTTTGGGGATAATATAGTGCGACGTGTAAGAAAATTCAGAACTATGTTGTATGCTCTAGCTGAATTTGTTTACTTCCTACAAAAAAAATGGATGAACTACTGATCCAGTTCATGTTGTGATCCTCCTCCAAGGAGTTTGTTTTGTTTCTTTGCTATCTGAAAGATTCCTTTTTTTTTTTTTTGCTTTGTTGAAGTGGAAGGAGCTCATTGGTGTACCTTTGTTGAAATGGCTCCTTTTAATCCTCATTGTTTCACATGTCTGTTTCATTTTCGTTTTTAAGGGGCTGGCCTTATTAAAGGTTGTTTAAAAGCTTAAACAAGACTTCTGTTTGATTGATCTTTAGTCCCTATTTTACCTACCAGGTGAATTGTCGCCTCGGGTAAGATATTGCTAACAGGGAATTAACTCTATTTCATTGCCTTGTAATTAACTTGTTATACTAAATCAGAAGATTCTCCGGAGGAGGGGATCAGGGGAGAAGAAACCAAAGAAATGGCAGCAACCCTCTTTTTTCCGGAGGCGATACATTGATACTACTTCGATAGTAGTAGCGGTAGTAGTCGTCGTCTATATGGATATAGAACGCTACAGAGTTCACTACTGCTTTAGCTATTGATACTACTTCAATAGTAGTAGCAGTAGTAATATTTTGGAACTAAACACGGTCATATATATATATATATATAAGCAACTGCAACGAGGCTATAGGGTCGTAAACAATTCACTGACACGTACCGGGCCTCTCCATGTTTCATGAGACACACGTCATACGTGCAGTATGAATTATCACGGTAACAGTACACTATTCACTATTTATATAATCTTGGTGGGCCACAAAAGCCGGTGGAGAGTGTCAAAGTTTACAAGAAGACTCATCTCCCAGCTAAGGAAGCATATTTTCTGCATCAAATCCCCTTTTTATGCAAGCAAATTAGGCATTAATAAGTATGTTGTTCATTATATGATAAACAACTTATACTATGAACAAATAAAATGCATCCGTATAAGCCGACTCTGTTTACTTGCAACCTGTACCTTACCATTTTAACTGTGCGTTTTTTAGGTAAAATTGGTTATATAGCATCGAAAGTTTATGTTTTTGGTTTTATAGCATCGAAAGTTACCGGTTCACTTTAATAGCATCCAAAGTTCACACTGTTCCCATTTTTAGCACTTCCGTCAATTTTTCCATCCGTCTTATCGTTATTGATTCAACCACACACATGATATGACATTTCTAACCCTCATTGACATGCATTATACTTGTACTTGTGAGGGGTAGAAACGTCATATCATATGTGTGGCTGGATCAAGACGGACGGAAAACGATCGAGAATTGACGGAAGTGTTAAAAATGGGAACATGGTAAGCTTTAGGTGCTATTAAAGTGAATCGGTAACTTTCGGTGCTATAAAACCAAAAACGTGAACTTTCGATGCTATATAAATAAATTTGCCTTTTTTTAATCCATGTAGACAATTTGCATGCTCGCCAAGTGTTGCATTCTCTGTTTTACAGACATGCTACCTGCCCTTGCAACTGTTTAGTGAAGAATTTTAGATATCTACTCGCCTAATTCCACACAAAACACACCTTCCTCTTCATTATATCATCTCCACTCATTGACATACGTATCTAAACCCGGAAAGGCAAAGTTAACTTAGACTGTGTTTAGTTTAGCGCAAAGTTTGGATTTTGGTTAAAATTGAAGATGATGTGACTGAAAAGTTGTGTGTGTATGACAGGTTGATGTGATGGAAAATGACTGAAGTTTGGATCCAAACTTTGAATCTAAACACAGCCTTAAGCATAAAGCCCAGAACTAATAGCCCACCGATAAAAATAACTTTTCAACATGTACATAGGCTGGTGAATTGTACTCTTCACAGGCTGAGCTGAACCTTAGGTTGGCTCTAAGTCTGTCTCTATTAGCATCATGGATAAATGCACAAACCCTTAAACAAATATTAACTACTCGTTGCAATTTTATTTAATATACGTTCTGCATAATAAACCTATTGGTTCTCGTCATCAAACCCATTTACAACTAAACTCTGCTTTTTTGACCAATCTCTGTTGTCCTCACATCACATGTTACCATTTGCTTTTTCAAACTGCCCCATTTTCACCTGCCCTTACTTCGTAAATAAAAATCTTTCCCAATTTCTGTTAAACAAAAATTCCCCATATCATATTGTGTTGTTCAATCAAATTAATATACATATAATATACCATAGCGTAAGGTCTAAATGACCTTGATTACGTACACTTCTACCTACGCAAGTCAAGTGTTAGCGTGCGTGGCGCTCACATTTCTAGTACTCTTGAAAGGCCTGACAATAATTCGTTTTTCAGAACATAAAACTGCTGATCAATCTGTGAGATTAAGCTTCATGAACTGGATTCTTATTTCTGTACCAGTTATTCTGAATGAATCTGGTACCGCAAAAAACTGTGGTGATTCTTTGCTGCAGAATGATGTCAACGATTGAACAGATGTACAGCTTTGTTATTGGCACTATTCTGCTTCTTATGCGATCTCACCGTTGTGAAGGTTCTTAGTCATCATCTGCTGGTTGTCATTTGCCATTCGACTTGGGCAAAAATGTTTTGTAAGTGATGAATCTGCTTCGCTTTGGATGTGATGACACCCTGGACCAACGGCCCAACCTGAACACCTGGGCTTGATGGAGCACAAGTTTGAACCGGGCAATTCTTCCTTTTGAACTCCAAATAAAATAAAGCAAAGAAAGGAAAATTTCAGCATCCTGAATGCGTCGACACCAAGTAGAATAAGGCTGTGTTCGGTTTCAGGGGTTGGAAACTAATCCTTTCAGCATGAAAAATGGAGCGATCCATTAGCACGTGATTAATTAAGTATTAGTTTTTTTTAAAAAAATAGATTAATTTGATTTTTTCAAGTAACTTTTGTATAGATTTTTTTTTTAAAAAACGTACCGTTTAGCAGTTTGAAAAGCGTGCATGAAAAAAACGAGTGAGGGGGGTTGGGAAAAGGGGCATCCGAACACACCCTTAAAAGTGACTCGTAAACACCGCAAATACATGTACTTCACAACTACTCCCTTCATCCAAGAATATAGGGTATTATTTCTAAAATAGCACAAATTAAGAAAGAGAAAATAGTATATCTGTGTAGCTTGAAAAAACATCCTTGACAAAGTAGTAGTAGTACCAGTACGTTCTCTGTAATCTTTTTGGTTTTTGACACGGATGGTGTGGAGTAGTGGTACTACTAGACGTTCTCTGTATTTTTTAGTTTCTCACAGAAATCGATTGATGGAGGGCTTGCAGTCCTTGTTTGTTTTGGGAGAAGATAAATCCACTATATTTCTGGATATATCAATGGGGCAAAATCCCCTGTACTTCTAGACATAGTGAGTATTTCTTTCGTCCCTAGTTTTAACATAAGAATTTATCAGAAAAAAAATAGTTTCAGAGTGGTCCACTACACCTCTTTGAAACCAATAGTACTCTCTCCTCATCATTTTCTCTCCATATTACTAAAAGATATAATTTTTTTTCAACATTTTCCTTAATTTGTTTTGCTTAGCTAAAACTATACTCCCTCCGTCACAAAATAAGTACAGTTTTACACCGTTTATATCCAACGTTTGACCGTCATTTTATTTGAAATTTTTTTATACTTAGTATCTTTATTGTTATTAGATAATAAAATATGAATAATATTTTATGTGTAACTATTTTTTTAAAAAAAATATATAATTTTTTTAAATAAGATGGGCGGTGAAACATTGAACATGAATACTTACGGCTGCACTTATTTTAGAACGGAGGTGGTACCTATTTACGGATGGAGAGAATAGGTATGTTGTGATATTACTAAAGGTGCATCCTGATGAACAAATTACTATTAGCCAATAATGTGGAGTTCGGGTTCAATGCTTTAGAGGTAATTAACATGTCGTCAAAACTGTCAAATCATGGTAAGAAACCTCAGTCAAGTGGTCAAAGAGATGACCCTGATGTGATCAATCGATGTGGCACTTCCTCTCCTCTCTGCCCTAAACTGAAGAACTGATGAAAGGCTGGTTGGTTGAATCACCTGCCAAGCCATTCTCCAAGCAACAAAATGTGCAGAAATCCACTGCAGCAAAAGCATTTGGGCACTGGAAAATCAGAGTACTCTGCAAACGCTCGTAGTACCTACTCCTACTGCTTATAAACAGACAAGGTTTTTACTCTGTTTCATGCGGGAGTATTTACCTGTCACTCCTCAGTCACCAAAGTAAAATGTGCCGGATTGACTGCGTCACAAGTTCAGTGGAGTAAATAAAAAGTCACAGGGACGAATCAACCCTGCACTAAAAAAAAGAGAGGAACATACATGAGAGTAAGAGAAAGATAGTGTACTAGCTAGGAGTTTGGTTGTAGGTGTAGCATCTCCTGATGACTCAGCAGTAACATTCCTTTTCCATTTTTTTTTTAAATTTGATCTCTCTTCTTTCTTTCTCAAAAGCAGCTCCACACAAAAAGGACACATTACAAGACGAGAGACTTGAAACGTGTCTCTGACATGCATACCCCACCACCAAACATTCTCACTCTCACTCTCTCTCAGTAACCAGAAGAAGAAGAAAGAAGCAAAGCATACAATAGGATTAGGAAAAGAGGCTTACTTTTACTAATTACTAGCGCTAATTAACAATCTTGCAGTGATGATCAACTAGCTAGTAGCTCGCTAAAAACTAGTGCAATAATGCAAACCCAACCTCTGATAATCATGATCTTGATTGATCTCGATTAATTAGCTAGAGGCCGTGGCGGTGGTGCCGGTGATGGTGGTGGTGACCAAGGACGAAATGCATCGGTGCCGGAGCCGGAGCAGGAGACGGCACCGGAGCGGCAAAGATGCCGGCGGCGGTGGAGTTGAACGGCGGCAGCATCGAGGCCGGCGCCGGAGCGATGGCACCCGGCGGCGAGAGGGCGGCGGCGGCGGGGTGAGGCGGGCACTGGTAGCACTTGGCGAAGAGGCCGAAGGTGTCGACCTGGTGGACGAAGTTGGTGATGCTCGCCCACCCGCCGAAGCCGAAGCCGACCACCAGCACCCACGCCACCACGAACGAGTTTATCACGTACGCCCCCGTCCATCCTCCGGCGAACCTCGGCGGCCGCTCCACCGCGTTCTGCAATCCAATCCAATCCAATCAGTTATTAATTACTATCATCTCGTGATAGCAGGTACAATAGCTGACTATAAGTCAGCTATAAGCATATTTCAAGAAGATAAAAGAGTAGAGGTAAGAGTAGCGGGTTACAGATTTGTAAGCCAGCTACAGCACAGACTGTAAAATGCATATGTGTATGACAGGTGGGACCAAATATTGATTATGTAGTATATGTTTATAGGTAACTATTGTATGAATTGGCTATTAATTGGCTATTAAGTTAACTATAGATAATTTAGAGTCAGCAGTTAGCTATACTATTAAACTTGCTCTAATTATAATTTTCAGTTAGATTACTGTTCAAGAATCCAACAGAGAGCAGTATATATGAATGCAGGGATCAGAAAGAAAAGATTATGCAAAAGTCTAATAATATTGCACCTTTACTTAATTATATATGTTTGAGTTATTATACTACTGTTACCGAATTATACGAAACAGAACATGCAACTGTATGTATTGTATGTACTGTTTCAGAATCAAACAGAACAGTATATGGATGCAGATCAGGAAGAAATTAAAGATTATGCAAAGATAAGTTAAGCTTGCATTGGGATGATGTCACAAGTAGGTCATTAGGTGAATGATGGTATTCTACTGCTACTAGTATACTGTGATGATGCTGTTGCTGAAAGCTTTATTTTTGTTGCTTTCTAGACATGGTATCATGGGTGTCGACCTAGCTCTCTCTCTAATGCAAATACAATGCAATATTGCAATGCAGTCTGTCTGCTCGGTGCCAATGGCTCCCGGACAGCAGATGGTACAAAAACATTGCAGCAGGCAAGCATGCAGCACAGCAGCAGCAGCAAGCGTCCTGATTAATCTCTACACCACTTTCAGTAGCTTTATGGTACATATAGCTTTTCTTTTATCATATCATATCATATCGCCACTTGCTCTGGTTTCTAGCTCAGCTCAAAGGAATTGCATGCTGTCGCTGCTCAGATTTGTCTTGCATTCAGTCTCTTCTTCACCGAGAATGACACACTTGCAACACTCAGCAGCAGCAGAAACAATAATAATAGTGTTTAATTACCAGTGTTACGTTGAGTTCATTGGAATTTGCCACGTCCCAGCAGCAGATCAATCAAATAGACGCCAACTAGCTAGTCTTGTTAATGGCTAGCGCTAGCTTTGATTAATTAAGACAAACAATTAATTAATTAATTGATCTGTTCTAATTATCAGTAAGCACTAGAAGAAGCAAGCAAGGTGTGATGGGGAAGCATGGTGGGCTCATGCTGTCTAGGCTGCATTGCAACAACCAGCTGTTCCATCAATCACCAAACATTTGCTTCTGTATCTAGATAGCTAGCATTTGGCAACTATGTATACATAGGAACAGCACTGAAACTATATCATCTCTACCTAAAGCCTCAGCAAATATGGTTGCAATGGACCCCCAATGTAGGCACTCAAAGACAAATAAATTCAAGCATGTATATATGTAAAATGCATTTTGATGATGAGAATTAGAAAGATAAAGAAAATTAGTACTCCTTCCGTGTTAGGTTATAAAATGTTTTGGTTTTGCTCAAAGTCAAACTGTTTCAAATTTGACTACGTTTATAGACAAATATAGTAATATTTATAATACTAAATATAGTTTCATCAAATCAATAATTGAATATATTTTCATAATAAATTTGTCTTGAGGTTAAAAATATTACTACTTTTTTCTACAAACTTAGTCAAACTTAAAACAATTTAAGTTTGAACAAAGTTAAAACGTCTTATAACCTGAAACGGATGGAGTAAGAAGAAAAGTAAGAAGGTACCTGGCGGGATTGCGGGGAGCGGAAGGTGACCATGTAGGCGAGGGAGGGGATGATGTAGACGGTGAAGCTGACGAGGAGGGAGCCGACGGCGGAGTTGATGGGGCCGAAGAAGGGGAAGATGATGGCGAGGAACCAGATGGGGAGGACGACGGGGAGGCGGGCGGCGGCGCGCTTGCAGAGGGAGGGGCAGCCGTGGAGGCCGACGAGCTTCTCCCAGACGAAGTAGAGCGGGGTGCAGGCGAAGCCGAAGGTGATGAACTGGTGGATGAGCATGAGCACCACCGCGGCGTCGCGCCACGGCGTCCGCGGCAGCAGCGCCAGCGCGTTCGAGTGCGTCAGCAGCGCGTCCCCGAACGCCCAGTACGCCGCCGACGCCGACGGCAGCGTCAGCGTCAGCACGTACACCGTCGCCAGCAGGTAGATCGCCTTGAACTTCTGCGGCCGCCACATCGCGTGCATTATCTCCCTGCATTTGCATTTCATCCCTTAATTACTTTCTTAATTACTACTACTATAAGTTATTTTGACTTTGGTTAAAATCAATCTACTCCCAAGTTTTATAGATATAAATGTAGTAATATTTACAACACCAAATCAGTTCAATCAAATCTATAATTAAATGTTTATTTTGGTTAAAAATATTATTTTTTTCTTACAAATTTAGTCAAACTTAAAGCAGTTTGATTTCGACCAAAATCAAAATAACTTATAATCTAAAACGGAGGGAGTACATGTGTGTGCTTTCAGATTCGTGCAAGAGAAACGACGATGCAGGGCCCAGATGTTGGTGGGCATTGCGCATGTCATGCCACGTGTGACCGGACGGTTTAAAATATGGCACCTATAAGAGTTTATAGGTGTTTGTTCTAGGTTCATAACATCTTTTTTAGTTATAGGTGACCGATCGAAGTTAAATATTGGTTTTCTAACCTGTACCAAAGTGATTTTCCTGTAGTAGCATGTATACAGTGTGGTCTTGTCTTGTCTTGGTTTGGTACATAAAGACACAAACTATACTCCCTCCGTCCCATAATATTAAGGAATTTTGAGTTTTTGTTTGTAACGTTTGACCACTCGTCTTATTTAAATTTTTTTAAAATTATTAATTATTTTATTTTTGACTTTCTTTATTATCTACAATACTTTAAGCATAACTTTTCGTTTTTTATATTTGCAAAAAAAATTTAAATAAGACGAGTGGTCAAACGTTAAAAGCAAAAACTTAAAATCTCTTATATTGTGGGACGGAGGGAGTACAAAGTAGCTAGAGATGATGGATGCATGCTAGCTGCTATAGACTGAGCTTACACCAAAGGGCCCAGTTAGCTTGTGTTGGCATTTGGCATTACATTGCTATAAGACTAGCTTGATCCATTAAACATGGCAAAAATGACTGGTTAGACCACAAATACATGAGTCACCAACGAGATGTGATCGATGTTCATTCTTCATTTGCTAGCATATATATCACCCTCTTAATCAACTTAGACGAAACCAACAGCATATTATAGCCAACTGCCAAATTGATATGAGCTATATTTCGTAAAACAACTACAGAAATACATTCCATGGCTAATATTACGAGTTTTTTCGACGGTTGCTTAGACTCGACGGTAGCACTGGCTCAACAGAGGGGATTTGCAATTATAACACTGCAAACATTAACTTTTGTTATAATGACACTGGACCCATATTTTATAGACACAGATGGACCCATTTATCATCCACTCGAAGTGTTAAAACAGCGAAGCCCTCATGTTTACAGTCCCAATATTACAATTTTCTCCTCCATGGACAGATGAACGGGACACGTGTACTTGGATGTTAGGAGGAACCACATCCACGTCTCATCACGTGGTACCCCGTGTGTTCCTATATGTGCAAGTGGTGGTCCCTAAGTTTAATGGGACCACATGTCAGTAAGTACTTCAAGCCATGCGTGCATGGCACGTGACCATGCATGCCATTATGCCTCGCATGGTGCGCACTCACGCTCCATTAGCAGTGAGCCGTTACACTACTGCTAAGCTAGCTTAATTAGTGGAAAGAAGTAAACTAACTAACAATAGGCAGGCAGCAAGCCAGCTATAAGTGGATACAGTACTAATCGTTCGTACTTTAGAGTAATTAAACTAAACTAAACTTAGTAAAATTAAGTAGGCACTAATGACCAATCAAATGGTTAATCGAGCCATAGCTAATCAAGAGAGAGGATGGTCGGCTTACACGGTGACAGCGTGGCCCCCGAAGGTGTAGAGGATGTTGGTGGCCCCCGTGAAGTAGAGCACGATGCTTGTGGGCCCAGAGTGCGCCACACCCTCCACCTGCATTATTCCCAATATATGCACTATTACAATTACTATCTATCACTATTACTATCATTTTGTTATCATAAATAAGTGACGTTTGGGACTTTGATCTTATATTAAAAAAAGATGAGTAATTTTACAGTTCTTGAAGATGTATCGTGAGGTACTATTTTTTATATTATAAATTTGATACATTTTGGTACCTAAATACTATGAGGTACCAAATTTTATATTAAATTTTTGGTACATCATGATACCTCCTCAAGAACTATAAAACTGCTATGAATATTATGTAAGATATATATGTACCTGTCCGTGGATGAGGGAGGCGACGGCGATGTACCAGGCGGTGTAGGTGGTCATGAGGAGGCCGAGGAAGGACCAAATGCGGTAGTTGTGGAATGACGGGATGAAGACGGTGGTGGCGCAGCAGGCGCCGAAGATGTACGTCCATGTCCGCTTGTCCAGATGGTCGTTGATGTAGTAGATGTTGCTGGCACACCCGATCAGTTGGATCACCGACCCGAACAGCAAAAACGTGCAGTTGAAGGCCAGTCCCACATTCCTCCAGTGCCTCCCCAGTAGCCCATCCAGCACCTCAAACCACTGGTACAAAAACATGTATCACCATATCACGTACTGATTTATATATCGTTAACGATATTAGAGCAGGTATAATAGTAGGCTATATAAAGCCAGCCATAAACATACTTTAAGAAGATAAAAAAAAAGAGAGACATGTATCATCATATCACATATTGATTTATATATGTGAGAGATCGATTTTATAGTCCTTGAGAAGGTAAGTAGGTACCTGGATGACGTGGTTGCGGAAGTCGACCTTGTCGCGCTCCTTGCGGGTGCGGTACTCGAGGTAGAGGATGCTGATGAGGTAGGCGGTCCAGCTGCCGAGGAGGCCGTAGAAGAGCTGGAAGAGGAGGCCGCTGGCCATGCCCAGCTGCGCGAACGAGTAGGGCAGCGTCAGCAGCACCTGCGCCACCTGGTTCGACGCGCAGCTGAACCACGCGTCGTACGCCGACCCCCCGTGCCACAGCAGCCCCGACAGCCGCGTCCTCGCCGCCGTCTTCTCCCCCATCTCCGACGACTCCTCTTCCACCTCTCCGCCGCCGCCGTGCTGCTGCTGCAGCCCCAGCGCCTGCATCGTCGCCGCCCCCGGCCCCTTCTCGTCCGCGTAGCCGCCGCCGCTGCTCCCGGACGCCATGTTTGTTAATTAGCTCTGCTGCTGATGCTAGCTTTGAGCTGAACTACTCACTGTGTGTGTGTGTGTCTCAGCTGAGCTAGCTATGTGTATGAGCTGCTGCCAGTGTGGGTGTGTGTGGTGTGTTAAGCTAAGGGGAGGAGTGAGGTGGTATATATGGAGATGGTAGAGGCCGGCAGGGCTCCAGCAGCTGGGGCATAAAGAAATCAGTGACCCTCTTTTCCTGTCCCTTTTCCTAACCTTTCTTTGCACCTCCCTCCCTCTTTTCGCTTCAAAATTAAAAACAAAACAAAACAATGCGAGAGAAAGAGGAGAGAAGAGAGCGTATGAAGAGGCACATGTGTCATTTTACGTACCTCTAACGTGGTCATTGACATGTGGGTCTAGAAGTAGTGGGCTCGCATATCAGTGACCAAGTCTCTTCTGACTTTAAATCGGAGATTGTTAATCCGTGTGCTACTGGGGCTTTTCTAACGAAATCCTGGGGAAAGAAGAGGCCTGCAACCTGGGGCATTCATGCCAGGGAGAGAGATAGAGCCTAGTGTGAGACATAAAGTAGTGTACAAATCTAAGAAAAAAAAAATTCAACTTTTCAGCAAATAAAATGGTAGATGGATCGAGGTGCTACTGCTGCCTGTGTGCTGGTGCTGCGATGCAACACAACTGGAAGGATGAGGTGAGTGACAAGCCCCATTCGATGAGCTTGCGATTTTTGTACTACGTGAAACAATAATACACGTATCTGACAAATTTATGTTTATTAATTGGAGTCTGCATATGATTTTATATTTTTCATTTCGTTTATCAAGCAAGGGCGACATACTACATCATACTCCCTCCGTTTCGAAATATTTGACACCGTTGATTTTTTAGCACATGTTTTACCGTTCGTCTTATTCAAAAACTTTTGTAAAATATATAAAATTATGTCTACATAAAAATATATTTAACAATGAATTAAATGATAGGAAAAGAATCAATAATTACTTAAATTTTTTAAGTAAGACGAACGGTTAAACATGTGCTAAAAAGTCAACGGCGTCAAATATTTCGAAACGGATGGAGTATATATGTATACGATTGAGGGCTGGCTACAACCTAACAATTGCAGCTGACATTTAATTTGACATGTATCCGTCCGTTCGTCTGTATATAGTATACGATCGAATTGTTTAGTCGATTTGATCACGACGATCGAACAGGCGTACAGCAGCATGCATGCAAGATATATAGAGTATTTCTTGTGTCTTTGTCTTGTTCGGATTGCACTGTATGGGTTCCAATGCTTTTCTAGCAGTACTCCCTCCGGTTTAATTAACGTTTTAGATAAGGTTGAAGTCAAACTTTTATAACTTAGACTATCAATAACTTTAAAAATATTTAGTTTAAAGGAACTAGAACAACATATATAGATTTGTCTTTTAAAATACTATAAAAAAGTAAACATGCATTTATTTATTATATATATTATAATAGAAAAATAAGGTCAAAGATGTATCTTGTAGACCGTGTCATTGTCTAAAACGTCAATTAAAATGAAACCGGAGGGAGTATATACAAAATTAATTATACTCCCTCCGTTTCGAAATGTTTGACGCCGTTGATTTTTTAGCACATGTTTGACCGTTTGTCTTATTCAAAAAATTTAAGTAATTATATTAATTATTTTCCTATCATTTGATTCATTGTTAAATATATTTTTATGTAGGCATATAATTTTACATATTTTACAAAAGTTTTTGAATAAGACGAACGGTCAAACATATGCTAAAAAGTCAATGGTATCAAATATTTCGAAACGAAGGGAGTATATAGCAAGATCTCTATAGATATATTCCTTCCGTTCCCTATTTGACGTTGTTGACTTTTTTAAATATGTTTGACCGTTTGTCTTATTTAAAAATTTTTGTGAAATATGTAAAACTATATGTATACATAAAAGTATATTTTATGCTGAATCAAATGATAGGAATAGAATTAACTTAGATTTTTAAAATAAAACAAATGGTGAAACATGTTTCAAAAATTAACGGCGTCAAATATTTAGGGACGGTTACGTCTCTCTAGCTAGCTCAGTAGTGGCATGCAAAATACCATAATGTAGTGTGCATGCATGGCGAGAGAGAGAGAAGCTATAGCTGCTGGTGGTATAAATTACACGGGGAATCGTATAGTATAAAAAGAAAATTTGGCGGGGGCGCGATACATCCCGCCATATATACGCGCGCGCGCTCTCGGTGGCCGGCCGCCGGCGTGGTCTACCACGCCGCACGAGCGCCCGGCGACCACCACCCACACCTCTCCCGAGATAGACAGAGAGCTTTTCTCCTCGTCTTCCCTTCCGACTCCGGCAGGGCAGACGCCGCGCCTGCACCGGCAAGGCAAAACCCCCCCCCATCCCTGCATGCAAACCAGCATAAATATGTGTCATTTTTCTATTAGTATCTGCATCCAAAAATATACTGCCTCTGTTTTTGTTTTCCTATACATGACGTGATTGATTTTTTAAGATATATTTGACTATTCATCTCATTAAAAAATTATATAATTATCATTCTGTATTTTTTGTGACTTGATTTATCGTCAAATGTTTTTTAAGCATGAATTAAATATTTTTATATTTACATACAAATTTTAAATAAGAATAATGGTCAAACGCTTATCAAAAAGTTAATGGTTCATATATTAAAAACTGGAGGTAATAATATAATACTCTTAATTTATAGTATAGCATGAAACGTATTCTAATATCACAAAAATTGATATACAACTTATTTAGATTCGTAATAATAAGTTATACTTCCTCCGTTTCATAATGTAAGTCATTTTAGCATTTCCCACATTCATATTGATGTTGATGAATTTAGATAGATATATATGTCTAGATTCATTAATATCAATATGAATACGGGAAATGCTAGAATGATTTACATTGTGAAACGGAGGGAGTATTTCGTATTGTGGATTGAGATATTTTAGAATGCAGGGAGTACAATCTTGCAACGACCGAATGTGTGCCAGCTTGTTAATAATTGCGTGATTAAACTAGTAAACATATAATCCGGTCAGGGGTCGCGCATCTGCTAGCTTGTCTCTGCATGATGCTTAATTGCCGTTTGCTTTAGTTCGATCGTCTCCACATCGTCTGAGAGAGAATTATATCAATCCAAAGAAAATTAAGAGATTGTTTAATTATATGCATGTTGTTGTTTGTTGTTGGGTGTTGTTTTGCTGTCTTAATCTGATTGCACGTGAAAGCCCAAACGGTCGGTTTAGGTGGATATTCCATTCCCTTCTTTTATATTATTCCAAGTCGTAATTATTTATAGGGTTCGATCCGGCTTTTCTTCTTTGTTGTTTCATGTTACTCGCTTAAAAAAGACATCCGTGCCATAAGTAAGCTTTAAGATACAACATGACTATAAATAGTGGATCGAGTGGACGAGGGAGATGTCGGCCCTTGACAACCAACTTTTTCTAGCTAGCTACCTTTTTTAGTAACTTAATATTTTATTTTAAAAAAATGGTAAAAGTTTAACCTCGTATATATTGATAGAGATTAACTTCCGAGGCATCAAGACAACACCTATGTTGGTATTTGATACGGTCACAGATAAATTCGCAAGCATAAGAATATTGTTGTAGCATTTCACCTTAGAGTATTATAGGTTTATTTAATCACAAGGAATGTGTGTGTATATTATTTAAGAACATAATCCAATCAAGAACAACATCTAATGCTAAACTTATGTTAGATAGGATTCTTATGGTTTAATTAATTAGACTTAAGTTAAAGGTAAAACCTTATCGATTACTTCGGGCACCGATTCTCCTCTGGTCTACGAAGCTGAGACGGCCCTGTAGCTCTATGGTGTACCCGGACGTGGAAAGATACAAAAGGCGCATATGGCTGTCACCGTCTGCTGTCTACCTCAATTTCCGTGGAGCACACAACAAATGAAGATAACCGCTAACCTAGACATCACGTCTAAGTTATTGATTACTACTCTAGCTTCGCGCAGGAACTTCCTTCTTTATCCAGAGTCCTAGTACTGGAGTACTTAATATAAATACTAAGCGATGAACTCGCAACGGTGAGAATATATCTCACTCAAGTAAGTAATTTAAATACCAAAAGGAAATCTCAAACACTTACTTTATTAAAGAAGCATTCGCTGAGCTACAAGAGAGGAAGAGAGTACCGATAGCTTCGGAATTCCTCCAGGCCTTCCCCTCACTCTCTACCTATTTTCTCCACACTACTAAGGGATGCCTAAAGTATGAGAAGTGACTTGTACTCCACTTTGTTGTGTATTGTGAAATGGCTTGAGCTCCTCCTTTTTTGGGCCATATAACGGTTGGAATTACGGTTGTGGAGGTCGGTGCATCCACAACCATCATTGGGAGGTGATCTTGCCCGTTCACGTGGAAGGTGGAGATGAGGTGGGGCTATGGTGGTTCGGCCAAACCCCTGGTTCAGCAGACCTGTGGGCCCCAACTCTCTCCACCACCTTCTTCCAGGAGCTAACATGTGGGCCTCTAAGGTGGTGCACGGTGGTTTGGCCCCACTTTAAGTTGGTTTAAACTGTCATGTGGGCCCTCCAATCTTTGTTCTCTCGTTTGATTGGTCGGAGGTACATTTAGTTACATGGTGGGTGTAAATTCATCTAAAATCACCCGCATACAAATATTTACCAATACTTGTGAAAACAGTTAGTAATAAACCCCGACCATTAAATTTGATATTATATTTTGTATCTTTTACGTAGGAGTTGACGGTTCAAGTTGTTACTTAATGACCTTCAATAATCTACACATGAACTAAACAAGAACCATATCCGAACACAAGTTCTTAACTTGACTCTACACAGTATTACACACGTATCAAAATCATCTAGAAGTCATAATCACGAGATAATCGTAAGTATTCAAATAAACAACCTGAAACCGACACTAAATAGGTCTCTACCGGTTAGACCGTCAAGCTAGCCAGTCTAATCACATGATACACGCTGGTTTGACCGGCCTATCCTACCCGGTCTGACCACTATTACAGAAAAGCACATAGAGGTCGGCTCTATAGGTGTCGGAATAGCTAAAACTGGCAACTATAGTGCTTTTCCCATCCCCACAAGTTGAAAAA